ACAAAGTACTGAGATCAGCTCACTGTTTAGCTCCTTGGCTTATGGGCCAGTTTTCAGCTTTGAAAGGCAAGGCAAACCATGGTTTTAGAAGAGGAGCTCTTTAATTCTTAAATATTAGTTTTCCATTCTTTAGGTAGTTCACATTGCTTCTGTGTGTCTCATGGAGACATTTTTATTTTACTTTCTGAACTTGAAGAGTTTCTCTGTAGGCCTAAGAAGCCAATACTCTACACATGGAAGATGGTGATCACGAAAGAGAGCCTCCCTGGGCACTTTCAGCCTGTCTAGTTCTGAAGCTTGTTATTTTGAAGCTGCTTCTATTTGTGCTGCTCTGAAAAGTGCAGTTGTGATGTGATAAGGGGCTTCACGCCACAGCTGAGCATTAGAGTGCTTGTCATCAGGCACTTCCCTTTTTAATCAGGAAAATATTTTTTGTTTGTTTGTTTTTACCAGCTGTTTTTGGAATGTAGATTCTGTTCACTGCTCCTCTGCACAGGCAAGATCCACAGGCGAGGAGCTGGGAATAGCCCAGCCTTGTGAAAACCTAGTTACATTTCTTTGACAAATATCAAGGGATATCTAACACACACCTCTGACTGTTAGTCCATTTTGTGCTGCCGGCTTATTACCGATACCTGTGCAAATAGATCTGAGAGTTCAGGAAACTCTTCAAAAAGTGTTTTCGCTTAGTACTCTGCAAATAAGCCCACGCAATATTTTAAATGACCCCTACAAACTGAGTTTCGTCACAGTTCAGCAAATATGTCTTTAATGGAAGTTACATTTCAGGAGGAACTAGCATTTTCAGACTCCAGCTCAAATTGCACATATGCTTTCAAATTAAGTTGTTAATTTTTTAATCTTTGTTTATACATGTTATAAACAACCACTGTAAATCCTTTACCATGTTAGGGTTACTTTTTCTACCACTGCAGAGCAATTGCATCACCCGTCATGGCCATATAGCTAAAATGAGTGGGAAGCAGGAGTCTGCCAAGTTGTCTGTTGTCCAGATGACCCTGTTAGTTTTATGCACAAGGCTTTAATAGTGCAAGCGTGATTTTTAAAGAAGCTAAGCAAGTTCAAATAAGTATAAGCTAGTGACTGGTGATACATAGTAATTTTGATTTTGATAAGGCCAGGCCTGGGCCTTTCTAGTACCTGGTATTTAATGGATGGGGAAAAAAAAGCGCGGTGAGGCAAGGGGGCTGGAAGGTGAGCCTCCTGAATGACAGGGAGCACCCAACCAGAGAAGTGGTATTTGTGAGGGGAAGGGGAATGTCAGGAAAAAAACGAGGAATGGTGTTTCGGCTATTAAGCGCTTCTGCAATATATTGTTTCAGGAATCTCATCACATCGTCCTAGGAGACGCATTCAAGGAACGTTACATAACAAAGCTGCACACGAAGAAAGCCCAGTTTGATTGTTTTGTGAAAAAAAGCAAGATGCACTGCCAAAATACTAATTGCCAGCATGACTGGGGAATCATAGTGAAGTACAAGACATTCGATAATCTACCAGTGATCAAAATCAAAAGCTTTGTAGTTGAGAACGTTGACACGGGGACACAAATGGATTTTCAGAAATGGAGAAATATTAATTTTTCTTTGAAGAATTTTGATGTTGAAGAAACATCCAGCTGAACTCTGCATTTTAGTGCATGTATCACCCTACTGCACTGAGTGATATAGGGGATGATCTCTTTCCATGTATGAATTCTTGTTCTTTATGCTGTCTGATATGCCAGAATCTTCTTTGTTACTGGTAACTTCTGGTTGGATTGTACTTTCATGCAGACAACATGGCTTATGCATACTCACACCATAAGCACTACTTTAGCTACTTTTAAAGCTTTTTAAAAATAACTTATAATGCTTTATGCATTTTGGTATATAGAAAATTAAGAGAAAATGTCCAGTAACTTTTTTTTAAGGAAGATATTGCATCTTTTAAATCCATATTTAATAGAGAATGCTTCTGCAACAGTCTGAGAAAAGCAGTAGGGCTTCACAGAGCCCTCTTTGGGGATGCATCTTGGGGATTAAAATGGCTGCACTGTTTTCTTCTATCACTGCACGTTCATCAAGTTGCTGTTGCTGAAGTTGCATAATGGACATCTTTCTGTGTGTTGCTTAACTGAACAAGCCCCATGGGGGACAAGGCAGTGTCCTGTAAGATGGATGAAGGCTTAATTTAGATGGTGATTAGCATTTATCCTGAAGTCCTGTCTCATGAATTGGCATCTGTAATCTCTCAAGACACTGATATTAATTCTGCCGATTTCCTGTTAGAGCTGATGTAGAATTGGAACAAAGTCCAGGCACTAGTGTGTTTAAATCCCTCCTCCCCACCCAGATCTCAGACTTCTCTTGGAAAAACAGAAATTGCTACAGACACAGTTATGAAACATGGTTAAACTTGCACACTTTAAAGCACTTGCTAATTATACACATCTTCAACAAGCTTAATCTTCAATATTTCCAGAAGCAAGGTCAAATATATTTTCAGGTCTCTCTGTGCATTTGATAGTGTAATAAGGTAGGTATGTAGAAGAATTATGTCTGAAGCACCTGAACTCTGACAAATACAAACCACTTTGAACACGAACCTCACTCGAGAATCCAAAAAATATTCAACCTACCTAACGCGCTAGTCATTGAGACTTAGGGTGTTCTTCTAAACAGTGTTATGTGACATGAAAAGCAAAACGACTTTTTAAGCACTGCTTCGTGCACCACCCCAGTCCATGCCTTTACTGTGAAAGCTGTATGCACTGTGCAGGAAGCCTGAATCTCAGTCCCACAGTAACTTACTCTGTGCCTAGTTTTTACATAGTAAATTCACTGTTCTTATAGCTGCTTCCTGAAAGGAAACACAGAACAATGGATAAAGATGAGTTATGGCTGGATAATGCCTACTCTCCAAAAATACTAGGAACAAAGATTTTGAAGAAGGCTCATTTAGCATTTTCAAATTAAAAGTACGTGGAAAATCACAGTCCTTGAGAGTATCAGTTTGCTGTGTGAAATGGCCATCTGCTTCGGGACTCTTCGCATAAAAATTAACCAGTCTTAAGTTTCACAGCTTATAGTAATAACTACTGGGAAGTTAAGGGATGTGAGGAGTTTGTCTTTTCCTATTGTATGAATGCAAGGACTGCAGACTAAAACAACTTTGCAGTTCAGCCTAAATGAGCATAAAGGTTGATGAGGCAACACATTAATACGAATTCAACTTGACAGAACAAACCTATCTTCAGTACACAGTGGAGATGGGAGGGTGGGAAAGAACACCAGAACTCTACTTGACCTTTGAGAATACCTGAAGTTTTTTTGCAATTGAGCCCAAAGCTGCATATTTATTACCAAATAATGCCGAAGATTATGACCATATTAACAGCTCTGTTAAGATGTTTGACAGAATCACAGAACAGCTGAGGTTGAGAGGGACCTATAGCAGTCAGCTTGTGACCTACAGCAGTTTTCCCAGGACTATGTCCAGACAGCATCTGACCATCTCCAAGGATGGAGACACCACAGCCTCTCTGGGCAATCTCTTCCAGTCAATGCTTGGTCATCCTCACGGTAAAAAGTCTTTCCTGACGTTCAGAGGGAACCTCCTCTATTTCTGTTTGTGCCCATTGCTTCTTGTCCTGCCACTGGGCACCACTGAATAGAGCCTGGCTGCATCTTTTTTGTGCCCTCCATTCAGATATTTGTACACAAACAGCAGAGATGTCCCAGAGCCTTTCTCTTCAGCAAGCTAAACATTCCCAGTGTTCTCAGCTTGTCCTCATACAAGAGATGCTCCAGGCCCTGCAACATTGCAGTGGGCCTCTGCTGGAGTTGCTAGAGGAGCTCTTGTTTGCTGTAATCAAGAAGAGCTTGTTGCAGGTACAGTACAATCTCTATCCTCTTCTTAAGCATCTTTAATTCTTTCAGAACTATTTTCATTGTTTTTTTCCCAGATACAACTGGAGCCAACTGCACTAAAAAATACATTAGGAGATTACTTTGAAACAATTTTTCCACTACGTTATTGTTGTGGCAGTTGCTCTAAATACAGTGAAGAGTAAGAATTGGTACTATACCCTTGTTTGTCTCTGAGTAAGAGGGTATTTGTTATCACTGTAAATAGATTCATGTGGTATTGTGGACTGGGCAGTCACTGACTTCAGTGAATGCACTGGCATAATCACTGGTTGCTAACTGCCAAAAAATTGCCAGCAAGGATCTTGAAATTGTGGTAGATTGTCTTCTTAAGGACACAAACCAGAGGGAAATACATAATGTCAGTATTCTGTTGGGTTACAGAAGACTGACTGTATCTGACAGTATTTGTATTCATTCTGTCTTATGCAGATTATTCAAAGAAACAAGAATTAAAATATGAGAACTCAAGACTTGTATGACTGCTGCTACAGGGACAAAGAGAAGAGTTTAAAGGCAAAGCTTTGTGCTGCATCTTGATACAGAATAACATGACAAAGACCACCAAACTTCTTGAAAATAAATTTAATTTTATCCATTAGAAATATCCCCCATAGGTCCACCTTTCCACAAAGGCTTAGATTTTAAACAATAAAGTTCACATTTTTAAAACTTAATAAACAGCTAAATAATTAATTTCAGTATTAGATTCAGATTCTGGTCAACTGAATAAGAAAGCAAGTCAATACCAGGTAATCAAGAAGGAATAAAAATTAATTTTTATACTGTCAGTTAATACTTGGACCACTGATATAAGCGTAGGACTTCTTTAACTTCAAACTTAATGGACCAAATAGATGAAATCAACACATGATCTTTAACAGTTCCACAGATTCCAGCAGTATTTTAATGACTTCCGTGCTGTATTCTAAGGTAAGTCAAGCCAACCACCATACAAAACAAGTAATAAATGCTGTTTACTTTAATTGGGCAAGTGTGTCCAGTTTCCTGATACACAAAAAAATTCAGCATTGTAAACAAGCCTTCTACTACAATCCACAAAAAAAACTGTTCACTTTATGGTTCACGCTTTCAAAGTTAAGATTACCATAGTTTTATTGCGCTCATCAGAAGCAGGCGTGTACCTGGACGTTTTCGCTTTATGTTTTGGATTAGGATGCCATTTTACGGATCATGTAGTTCAAAATGCCGCCGTTGTGGAAGTAAGTGAGCTCCACGTCAGTGTCAAATCTCATGATGGCATGAAAGGTTTTTCCAGTATCCAGCTGTTAGGGTCAAAGAAAGTCATTCAAGCACCAGAATCTTCCATGCTACATATAGTAAAATAAGGGCTATTATGATCGTTTTGCCATGTTAAGAAACTGTGGTAGAAATCTAAAGTGAATAGGCACTAGACTACAGCCAGCTGCTTAAGAGGAAAGTAGTTTAAAACAAACCATAATAAACGTGCTGTGGAGTCTTCTTGCATTGCATTTGCTGCCGCATTCAGAGCTGCTGTTGAGCTACTGTTTCATGCTAGCAGCATGAAAACTGACCATCCTTTCAAGTGGTTATACTAATTCTATGTAGTCATTCTTCTGGCTTAGGTACAATAGCAATATTAATTCCATTAGCTTTCTTCAAGGGCTGGTGTTTGGGAATCAGAAAAGCACAAAGACAAGTGCATGAAGTGAATAGAGCCACTGCGTTTTACTGAAGACTCCCCTAGTCAGGTACTTCCAGATGAATGCACAATGTTCATCTGTGACTGATATGCTCACCAACTCTTTGGGATCTATACTTCCTCCATTTCAGGGCAGCTGAGGCACATGCAAACAACTATTGTCAGAAACTAATCCAGGGAGATCACCTGCACTAAGTAGATTGTTTTGCTAATCGTAGTAAAAAGCAAACTTTTGCGCTATTAGGTTAAGCAAGTCAATTTTACAGATGTTTCAATCAAGAATAAACCAGATTTTTGTCATAGATGCTAGTATTTTTCAAAAAACGGCATAGGTTTGGAGGCAGAGCTAGACAAAAAGCAGGCGTTCAAATACAAGGCCTGAAGTTTAACTAGATTCTATACTGGTATGCTTAATACTTCACTTTGAATGCCGCAGTGTACCATATTCTGTCAGGTGAATTGTCAAAGAATTATTTTAATTTTAAATTAATTTAAATAATTTATTTAATACTTACAGTTCACTTTCTGTTGTACTTCAAACATTTAACTGAGACAGAAAAAATTATAGTGGACTTTGAAAGTCTGGACCAAAACACAGAACTGCTTTGTGCTAAATAAAACCATTTGGGCATGCTGCTTTTACATCCCATCATAGCAAATCCCTACAGCAATGACTGTTTTTATCCTCTTCACCATCTCTTCTCCCTTCCTCAAGTGAGAGAAGCTTACTGCCATATGAAAGCACATGGTTTGAAGAGACAGTTCATTTTGAGTGAAATTACCCTGATTCAGAAAATGCAGCTCTTAGGTGTCTCGTACCTTAATCTGGATGTTCATCTGCGGTTTTAGTTTTTCAGGAATGATAATCGTGTAACGCTCCCGTCCAGTGAGTCCTAAAGTCCCTGCATCCTCTCCAGGTAAATACTGCAGAGGAATCACTCCCATCCCTACTAGGTTGCTTCGATGAATTCTCTCATAGCTTTCCGCAAGTACAGCCTTGACGCCCTAGGAAATACACAACACATATAGTTATCATCATGGTTCAGGACAGTCTTTCTGTGCTCATAAGAAGGAAATTGGTGCGTTTGTGGTCCCCTCCATTTCAGTTATCAGGCACTGGTAGAGTCAGCAGGTCTGTCTGACAGCGGGCTGTCCAGGATGACTTGATTATAGGTTAACTTTCAAACATCTTTAAAAGAAATGTGATTGTCAAAAAATTACATACACTTTCTCAGGAATGCAATTACATACTCTTTCTCAGAATCTTTTTTAACATGTCTTTTGCAGAGCACCACTCATCATTTCTGTAACTCTTGCTAATTCAGTGTTGTCCTCCTACACTAGAAGCTCCAGGATGCAGTTAATTTAATTGATTTCTAATTTTTACATGTTAATACAGTGAAGACAAAAAAATCACCACTAGGAAAAAAGAAACCAAAAATTTCAGACAAACATAATCTTAAACACCAACTCTCCTCAAACTTTGTTTCATAATACACACACTACTGCCTTCACACGTTCCATACCAAGAAAGCTTGAATCAGAGTTCAGGCTCGTAAACAGTGTAGGACAGGATAGGCAAGGAATGAAATGGGTATTTCACTGTATGTGGATTTCTATTAGGCTCCTATAACAATACTGCTAAGCTTTCCTGCAATCTGCATGGTGAAGCCATGCTAAATTTCATTTTCACTGATACTACTTTTCTCTTGCACTTTCTATCTTCCCTGCTAAGTGCAGGAGGTAGCTGGAAGCAGACTCGAGGTTTACTGGGTTATGGGAAGCAAACATAAAGAAACTGGCCTTTCTGGTGTAGCCATGTAGATTTCTAGCTGAAGATCAGTCAAGGCTTCCAGTCTGAACAGGATCTATTAGTTTTTGAATAGCTTTTGCAACTCTGCTGTGGCAAGCTTGGAGGCAGCTGAGATTTCAGAATAGCTCCTGTTTCCAAAAGTGAGAATGAGCCACCCAGGACGTTGGTCATAAGCTAGCCTTCCTGACAAGTGAACGCACTTTGAAGTACTGTCCTCCTCCTAATGTACTGTAGTCACTCACCAAAAGGAACGGTCCTTTAGCTGCCCAGTCTCTGGAACTTCCTGCACCATATTCCTTCCCAGCCAGCACAATCAGAGGATGGCCAGCCTGCCTGTATCTTTCTGCAGCATCAAACACATCCAGCTGGAATGAAAATGACAAACACTTTATACACTTTTTGGGGGTGGAAGCACAGTTCCAGGGAAACAAGGAAAAAAGCGTCCCCACATAACAGCTGAAGCCCACACTTTCCACGAAGCAGCACTCTAAGGATATTAACCACATAGTGCCTCACAGCTGCTACCCTGACCTCACTCCCAGAACAAACCTGCACCTTCCACTACTGCTTCTGCAGTGGTTACACTCTCCACTGATACACCTGATAGCACCACATTACATAGGTGTGTGTGACCTGCTTCCTTAGGTCAGCACAGCTCCTGTATCCTCATTAGCTTTACTTACAAGATGCTTAAGTAAATGACCTAAGCTGTAAGAAGGAAAGCAGGTAGTAATCCGCTCTACTGTCAGTGAGCCTCAGTTTAGAGCAGCATGTGTACTTACAGTTTCCCCAGAAGGGAAATGGACAGTCTGAGGTCCTTGTTTATCAATAAATTTGTTCACCAACCGAATGTTTGCAAATGTTCCTCTGGCCATGACAGCGTCATTCCCTCTGCGGGAGCCATAAGAATTGAACTCTCGAGGAGTCAAGCTATTCAGGGAAAAGAAAGAAAAGAAAAGAAAAACTAAAAAAGGAAACTCTTGATTTTAGAATCAAGCACTCTGTGCTTTAAAAAATCAAAAGAAAGTGAGCTGGTGTTTCTGAGGCAGGTGTGTACATAGTTACCATCACAGCAGTAGTATCCAGTTAGCTGATAATTCCTTCTACTTTTAAAATTTTTTTGAAAGAAAAAAAAATTAAAAAAATATAAGTCTACCTACAGCTTGGTCACAGAAAGCAGCTTCCATAGTACTCTCATACCTTGCCCTAGAAAAAAGTATCTGATAGTGATTCAAGGATATAGTCCATGTTAGGTCAGAAGACGCAATACAACTCTTTTCTTAATAGCAGTCTACTGAAAATCCTCGTTGTTGTTTATATTACCATAGCATCTAGAACAAAGGTAGAGACACCATTGTGCTAAACATCTAAAGGCAGAGAGAGCCCCTGCTGCAGGTTAGAACTAGAGAAGGAAAAGTTCATTTGCACACAGAGATACAGGAATGAGGGGACACTCCAGCCTAACCAGTAAACAAAAAAAGTGCTGGAATCTGACAGAAGATTGGACCATTTGCATTGGGCTACATGCAAACAGCAGCTATGACACACAACAGCTATTTTGTAATGTGTGTAGAACTATTCAGATTTCAAAGTGAGTGACAGCAGAGGGCCAAAGAGTCCAGAGCAGTTAGTTTTCAGCAGATCACACTGTTTTAATCTATTTCCTCTCCAGAATTATTAGGTCTGGTGAAAATATTTTTTTTATCATGTCAATGCTGTTCCTCAAAACACCACTGAAGTTGTAAGAAGTGCTAAACCAGAGAATAAAAATATTATATTATCTGTGAAGACTGAATAGGGCAACTCCACAAGTCTGAGTCCTGCCTTAAGTTGAACACACTCTATGCAAATTCTTACACTTGGTGAGAGCTACTGACACTGCAGAGAAAGAAATGCTTTTCTTTCTTCTTTTATGTATTCTCCAGGCATCTGTCAAGGTAAACAAGCGTATATGAACAGACAGCAGATATGTGTGCCTGTAACATGGTATAGTAGTTGTGGCTTGTCTCCTCTTCCCAATTTAAAACAAGAAGTAGTGCTTACCCTCTGCTGGTCAAGTAACGGGCTGCAGGACTATTTCTTGCTATGTTCCCAGCTGGAGATATGTGGTCAGTTGTCACAGAATCCCCAAAACTCAACAGGACATAAGCATCTTCTATTGTTTTTGGGGTCTGAAGAGCCAAAGTCTAAACCGTCATAAATACAAACAAAATCATTAGAATGTAACACAGAATTCCTTTATCAAAAGTGCAAATTGCAAAATAAAGCATCCCTTTTTATGCAAGTTAGAAGAAAGAAAGTAAACCCACCCCATTAAAAATGTTTATCTTGAACAAAATATCATGTCCTGGCTGTTTTTCAGCAAGTTCATGCATGAAGAAAAGATATGAGGCAAAAAAATTAGCTCAGGCTTTCTGTGGTACATGCGTGAATGCAGATGAAAATCCAGGATTCCTAGACATCTGCACGCATTGAAGTCCGCACTTTCTTTTAAATGGTACTGAAATTCCAATCTGAATACTGAACTATTTGGTGCAAAATGCAGACAGGCAGAATTGTGGGTTTCATTTTCTGTCCTTTTCCCTCACTTGCTTTGTGACTATTTAAAAGTATTTTAGCTTAAAAGGAAGAGGAGACTTTTCAAAAGCTCTGCAGTGACAGAGAATCCTTACAATTTTCACAGTCATTTATGCCTTTGTATTAATATTAATACAATAGTCTAATTCTAACATTTGAGAAACAAAGCCTCAGTAGGCTATGATGGATGGTCCCAAGGCCCTTGAAATGGTTTTGCTGCACCTTTAATATTAGCCAAGGTCACTACACACTTTGGCTTGATTTAAAGAGAAAGCATACACGTACCAGACCATCGAAGAAAGGTGGAGACTTGATGTAAGTTGACTTGGGATTCCAAGTATATAGTTTGTCTGAAGGAGCATCTAAGGCATTCCAAGACTTGTTTACTGTCTGAAAAACACAGAAAAGCATCCCATTGATTTTTAAGTTCTCAGATGCAACAGCATTACTTCAGAATCCAGGTAAAATTACAAATTTTACTTCACCAAAAGCCTTGTGTGTTGCTTAAAGCACTTTGGGAAATTCTTACGACAATATACATTATGTTTGGTGTATGGGTTTGGTTTTTATTTTTTTTTAAGATTCTATCTTTTTTAAAAGAGTTAGGAAAACCTTCATTTCATTACAGAAGAAGAGCTGCTCATCCAGTTTGCTGACCATAACCAGTATTATGAACACAGATAACATTTTATAATTCTCAAATGTATTTATCAGTAATCTTAAGAAGCTTTTCTAACATGTAAAGCTTAAGAATATTTTGTTTTGACACCTGAGAAGGGCTTGCAGGAAGACACTCCCAAGTACAAGATTTTTTTTCTGATGTGAATGCTATTGAGGCCATCATCAAACAAGTGGAGGAAAAGAAGGTAAACAGGAGTAGTCAACATGGATTCACCAAGGGGAAATCATGCTTGACCAATCTGATAGCTTTCTGTGATGGTGTGACTTGCTGGGTAGATGAGGGGAGAGCAGTGGATGTTGTCTACCTCAACTTCAGCAAGGCCTTTGACACTGTCTCCCATAACATCCTCCTAGGGAAGCCCAGGAAGTGTGGGCTGGATGAGTGGTCAGTGAGGTGGATTGACAACTGGCTGAATGGCAGAACTCAGAGTTGTCATCAGCGGCGCCGAGTCTAGTTGGAGGTCTGTAACTAGTGGTGTCCCCAGGGGGCAGTACTTGGCCCAGTCCTGTTGAACTTCTTCATCAATGACCTGGATGAAGAGTTCGAGTGTACCCTCAGCAAGTTTGCTGATGATACAAAACTGGGAGGAGTGGTGGATACACCAGAAGGCTGTGCTGCCATCCAGCGAGACCTGGACAGCCTGGAGAGCTGGGCAGAGAGGAACCTGATGAAGTTCAACAAGGGCAAGCGCAGGGTCCTGCACCTGGGGAGGAACAACCCCATGCACCAGTACAGGCTTGGGGCGGACCTGCTAGAGAGCAGCTCTGTGGAGAGGGACCTGGGTGTGCTGGTGGACGACAGGTTAACCATGAGCAAGCAGTATGCCCTGGCTGCCAAGAAGGCCAATGGGATCCAGGGGTGCATTAAGAGGAGTGTGGCCAGCAGGTCAAGGGAGGTTCTCCTTCCCCTCTACTCTGCCCTAGTGAGGCCCCATCTGGAGTACTGTGTCCAGTT